GCAAGAGCAAGTATAGTGGATGTCTTTCCTGTTCCTGGTGGTCCATAAAACAGGAGATTGGGAAGCTGCAAGCATTGAATTCAGGGAAATAATTAATTGTGACATCCCTAATAATGCAACATTTCTATTTTGTATGAATTAAATTTGTTTGCACTTCACATGCTTCCACATCAAAACAACACAAACAAAAGATACTTCAATTTTCAATCGTTATGATTCTTATTAAACAAAGCAAAGCAGTTCACCCCTCCGTGATACAACTACAACAAAAAGTTGCCCCGACCCTTAGTAGAAGATACTAAGTTTCTTCTTTTGTTGTGTAATTCATTTCTTGCTTCTTTTGTTCTTACTTCCACTGTGTTGAAGCATATTTGGTTTCTAATGATTGTACTATTCCCTGATAAAATGAATATCCCAATTTTTATGTATATTAATGTATAATTTGTGACTTGAACCGGGACTGTAAAAATGAAAGCCACGTTGCACAGTAGTTGCACTAGCCTATAATTACTCAGGCTGTCTTTTATTTTTTATTCTCGTATTCAATTACCCAATTCTTTTTAATTGTTGCCTTAAAATCCAATGTTGAACACGGAGTTGTGGGGCACCTGCAGAAACCATCGGTTGAATTTTTTTCCTGTTTGATACGTCACATGTAGTCCTTTTTGTCCGCATCGCAAAGAAAGCCAACGAAATATGAAAAAGTCGCATGGTTGAGTGCTGGTGCTCCGCTATCCTGCTGCTATAAAGTGTGTGATCGTTGAACAAGGTCACAAGCAGCGCTACTGCTGTAGCAGCAGAGTGATCTAATGTTGTCCGACATCAGGTGCTCCACCTTTAGATGATGGCACAAATGCATGCTGCTGGCTGAGCATAGCTGAGGAGATAAGGCATCCAAGGCCAGACACCTTAGCAATTAATCTTCAAGGTCAAAAGCACATGCAAGATCATTTTTTGAGGTTTGTAGTGGGAGTAGTAAAGCTATCACACTAGTAGAGCATGCGGGATGTAACAAATACAATTCAGTTACCGTTTTCTGAAAGTGCTTTAAAACTCTGCGTATTATACTGTGGGTCTTCAGTAAATGATGAAAAAGTCTGTTAATTGAAAAGGGATACGGCTTGATTAGCTTAGGCTAGTGCATTCAGTTCAATTCGTTTTGTTGTACTTTTAACTTTTTAGCCCTGGCTCAAGTAATGGGGGTCAACTTGTACGTGATGATTGGTGTCACATGACATTTGTGTAAATATTATTTTTCTGTTACACTTACATCGGCTCCCTGAAGCGACTTTTTAAGGACAGAAACCACCTCATCTTGGTGAGCCACATCGTCTACAGTTTTCGGTCGGCTGTGTGAAAAAAGGAAAAGTAAGTGAATGTCACACACTGTTACACACAATAAACACTAAAAGGTACAATGAACACCCAAAAAATGCTTACTATTTTTCCACCCACGGAATATGCACTGGTTTCTTCTGAACCTGCTTGGGTTCCTTAGTTTTCTCCTTGGGAAGAGTTAAGTTTGGGTTGGCCGTTTTCAAAAAAGCGTGCATGATTGATTTCGACGCCTGCGTAAAATGAAGTGCAACGCTCAATTAATTGATTGATTGATATGTGGGGTTTAACGTCCCAAAAACACCATATGATCATGAGAGACGCCGTAGAGGAGGGCTCCGGAAATTTCGACCACCTGAGGTTATTTAACGTGCACCCAAATCTGAGCACACGGGCATACAGCATTTCCGCCTCCATAGAAAATGTAGCCGCCGAAGCCGGGATTCGATCCCGAGACCTGCGGGTCAGCAGTCGGATATCTTAGCCACTAGACCACCTCGGCGGGGCAACGCTCAATTACATTTTGAAGCTCAATTAACGTCTGGTGTTGCACATGAGCGAATTCGTCGCACACCTCTACACCGCACACGACACTACGGGGCTGCGTCACGGAAGTTAATTCGCCACAGCGAAGCCAGTCTCGTCTTCTTCGCACTTGCTTAACGCACAGTGACCCCGCATTGATGAATGAATGAATGAAGCCGAAGGCAGCGGGTGAAAGGACCATGCAAAACGTCAACTCACCGTATGTAATCAGCGCGATGAGTCCAACCAACCCCGCGCAATTTTTCGCGCGCAGGTTGCGATGATGGGAGAAAGCGGCAATCAGCGCCGAATGCGAAAATGTAGAATATATTCAGATGTCATACATAGCATCAAGCAGAGCACAATTTACAAGAAAAAACTTAAAACACAGCTCAGTAAGGTATATGTGAAAGTTTAAGAAGACGTCGACTGTTTTGACTGCATTTAATACTTAAAGCGCTTTAAGTCGTTTTAGTTTCAGCTGTGATTGTCAGGTGGCGCAGAATTCAAAGATGGTTGCCTTCATGCCGTAAAAAGTCGCTACGTGAAGGCAGTTATTTCTACGGTTAAATTTGAGTTTTGATTGGTAATTGAGAGTGTATAAAAATGGGGGATCAAGACAGAGACGTTGACTGCTCCAACGCGGCCCGAGGCGTGTGGCTCGTAAAGGTATGTTAGTTGGTTTGTTGACCCGATCAAATGTTGACTAAAACACCTATTCCTGCTCTTACACTTCAGGTGCCGAAATACATCGCTTCTAGATGGAGCAAAGCACCCCCCTTGTCTGAGGCTGGGCGGCTGAAAATCACGAAGTGAGTCTAAATGCAAAGCGTGCGCCTTGTCAACGTTGCGAAATTTCGCTGGGCGAGGAATAATGCTGCTTCTAAAGTAAATGCTCTCAAGCAGTGGCTATGGGATTAAGCTTGCTGTCATGCTGAGGTGAGCTTCAGCAAGTAAATACATCATAAACATAACTGCTCAGTGCCGAATAACGAGGCCATACGAAAAGAGCAGACGGACGAGCGGTTTCTGATGACTTACGAACGCGTCCAAGCTTCCGTGTTTCTACGTCCTGTCAACATAGGTTACTGTAGCAAGTGGGATTTACAGTACGATGCGGGACTTTTTAACAGCGATGATGTTTAGCAAATTTTTCCTTGTATTCCGTACCAAAAAAAAAAAAAATCGGCAGATCCCACGTACCTTGGGAATTGATGCTAAGCATGCGGGAGAAAATGACTGTCGCAATTTTTATGTTGAGTGAAATGCTATGAATGACGCTGAAGATATGTACCAATTTTTTTACGCACAGACGTATGCTAAACAGTCGCTTGTTTACTGTTGCGTAACGATGTCAACAACAACAAAATGGGTATTGGCAATACCAGAAGCGGTATGTTGCACTTGTGCCAGTGAAGATAGCGGCCCTAGATACAGCTAGATGAATGAACTTCAGTGAATGGCGCTTCACTACAGTTGTCGTTAACTGGACGTGACGGCTGTATGATAGGAGTTCGTATGTGCCGTTTGATAGCCAGCACTGCTACCACGATTGGCATTTCACTAACATCACAGTCTACTTGAAAAGCAGTTTCGAGATCTGGCGTGACCTTTAATAGAATACTTGATTGCTAAGCAGAATGCTGGGGCTCTGGTGATCACCCTCTTAACTTGGGGTACACCAATTTGTACAGGAAAGTAAGATGGCGACAAATATGACGCGAATCTGGTCACGTACGCCATCAAACGCTTTCCAGAAAACAGTGGTACATACCCAGGGTGGGTATGTGCCACCAGTATGCGGGTATGTGCCACTGGTTATTGACATTTTATATCTACCCAGTAATGGCGAAAACACACATGGGTAACTTTAACATTTGAGCTTTAAGAAAAAGCTGATATAGGTAGCGTTGACAGATGATGCATAGAATAATGTCAGTATCCCAGCAGAATCAAACCCTAGCATTCTGCGTGGCAATCAAGTATTCTACCAAAGAGCCACACCATGTCTTGAAAATACTTTGCCAATAGACTGTAATGTTCATGAAATGTCAACTATGGTTGCAGTACTGGCTACCAAGTTGTATGAACATTACATATGTACTCCTATAATACAGCCGTCATATATCGGGTTAACGTCAATTGTAGTTAGGCGCCATCAATTGAGGTTGACTTGTGCAGCAGTGTCGAGGGCTACCATCCTCGGGAACTGCAGCGCAAACACCAGCATTTCACATCAGCTTATCACTTCTGTGTTGCTAATATCCACATTGCTGTTGGCATCATTATGCAACTGCTAATATAAAACAGATCTGGCTGTTTAACGTGTGTGTGTGCATTTGTGCATACATTGAACACCACTTCATAATGTCTCACTCACTAAAAAATAAAAATACAACACAATCATCTTGCATCTGCATGCTTCACATAACATCAATTCCCAAGATACGTGGGATTTGCCGAATATTTAGAGACCTTGTTTCTCAGAAATGCCAGCATTGGTGCCGTTGGTTGTGAGCATAAATTTATGATCTTTGCAAGACTGAAAAATTGAGCATCCTTGCGTGACCAAAAAATCGAGAAAGATGCAAATAAATAAATAATAAAAAGCTCTAGGTCTGAGTGGGCATCGAATCCGGGTCGTTTGCATGGCATGCGGGTGTTCTGCCTCGCAGCCACGCCTCTCCTTGAGAATGCAGTGGAAATAACTTCCTCTGCTTATAAATTTAGTGAATGTAACTTTCACGCTTTACAAACACATACATCCTGTAAACATGCTTCACAATACAACATGAAATGCTGCTGTGATAATGCGTGTTACAAACGTGAATTACCATCAGGGATTAAAACGTGAGATTATCATAACTTCATAGTTGAAAGCCAGTCACCCACTACAAAAGGCACACACGTTACTACATCCTTAAGGCCATGTTCGAAAAAATTTCATACACTTAGTGTTTGAAGTACGCACTACGAGCAGAATATCGCTATTGCATTCAACTTCTAAAGACGAAGCTTAGGGGCCCCAATTTTTCATGTGATGACCAGCGTGTTGTAATCCTCACACTATCTTACCCTCCCATACTAGATAGATAAATAGATCTATAGATAAGATAGGTACATAGATGATGCCAAAAGTGCTTGAAGTGTGCAAAGAAATGCTTCGCATTTAAAGAAGCTACCATCATAAGCAGGTATGTGCCACAGAAATTGGGTAAATCCCACTACGCACAACTTTCACTGAAAAAAAAAAAGAAGGCAACAGCTAGCCGAATAAATGGCTGCAAATCGGTAGTGATGAGCCAAAGAGCCTGAGTACTTACACGAGGATACTAGGAACGGGACTGGCAACACCAGCTGTGAGAAGACCCCGGAGCAATAGAATAGAAGCCGATGACAACGTGCCTTTGTTTGTACCTGTGTGCTCAGACCTTTTTGGACTGAGAATCAGTGTAGAAATAAACCGAGAATCACTTAGCTGAAACCGAGCAATGACCTAAAAGCAACCAAAATAGTCTTCAGAATCATCCACTTTCGCTGCTTCACAACTTGTGTGGCTTAATGCAAGCTGTGCTTTTTTTTTTTTTTTGAGAAGATTGGGGTGTGTCTCCAAGAGATTTCTCAGGCAGGAGGCAAGTCGGACAAAATGTCGTCTAAACATTGATGACTATCTCGGACCCTTGACTTCATCATGCCTAGGAGTCTTTATATGTTTTTTTTTTTCACTAGCCTTATTTTCATTCATAGTACACAATCAGGCTGCATTCAATCGTGAGACGTACGTGTTTAAAATACACTAGAACCCATTGCTGGTGAGCAACAATATGCATGATTCTATCGGAGAGCACTTTGAGCTCTAATCGAATTCAGTAGACATATGATTTACCAAAGTAAAACCACAGCATACCCACAAAGTGAATGATAATGAGTGGGCGAAGCTCCTACAAATAATTCGGGCAACCGCGAATCCCTCATACAATGCCCACTCAAACATACAAATGAGTGACAGTATAGTATATATAATGTATGCAATGTTGTCTGTATAGTATATGCAATGTTGTTTTATTGGTCATACATAGTATTGAGGGGCAGACTTTGTTTTTCCTTCATTAAAACTGCGTTTTGGCCAGTGAAATAAAGGGACAAGGCTTCGTAGGTGGGATGTAATCTGAAGTTTGTAAAGACGAGGCCTATACAAGTCCCCCTCGTGACTGTTTACAGTCATATGAAATGCATCTCAGAGCATATCGTCATGTCATATGCTGCACAAACCAGTCATTCATGATATCTAAATTAATGTCACCAGTCAATATTAAGGGATCGTTCTTGTATTTTGTATCATAGTCTGTGGATCTTGCTGTGTAAAACGCTATGCTCTTGGAATGAGCGAACACAGTAGACACGGTCGGGACGAACCAAACAACACACACATTTATTTTTAACTACCTTTAAATTGATGATATTGTCAGTCAACTAATTATACATCAATTGTAATCAACACGTTAAAACAACATTACATAGTATTACACAACGCTCAAAAACATCACAAACACAAGACACACTCAAGGCGGCTTCGCCAACGCTTGATACCACGAGGGCCCCCGGCGCGCAACCTGCAGTGCCGCGCACCGAGAATTCACTGCTAGCTACAAAAAACCGTTCACGCCAATTGTCCATCCACCAAAGAGACCCTACTCATCTCTCCGTACCGCCACTAAGGCTTGCCGCCAGGCATTCACTGCCAGCACCACCGTTCTAACCATGATGATATTGGTTGTGATAAATGCTTGCGAGGACAACGCCACCTACCGTTCAATAGTTGTCACTCTGAATGCGGCTTATGCACAAGACATGTGCACCATGAGGCGCAAACAACTTTACAGGGGGTGTTAGCACCCCACAAGTCTCGCATTGCTATATCGAGTGTACTTTGGCTAGGCTGCCTCAGGAGAGGTTCGGGGCCAGGTACATTGACGTCAAATGGTTCCATTTGATAGTGTTATTGCAGCATGTTTGCCATTGTGACTATGACTGGTCATTGGTAGCTTGAGATCCACCACAATCTCACTCATTTCGTGTGTTCAAGTGGACAAAGTGCACAATAATGCTTCCAGATGTGTAGCGGATGCCTCACTTATCAGCAGAATGATGAATAGCATAGTGGGTGCTTCATCGTCATTGTCATGGCATATAGTGGGTACCTTGAATGCGCTGTGCCACAAGAGAATGTGTGGTCTGAAGCACACCTGTTCTTCATCATCGTCGTCGTCGAGGGACGACGGTGGATGTGGGTCGGCCCTAAGGAGCTTAACCCTAAAAAAAAAAGACGGCTTGTTTGCCCTATGTCACGTGTACGTTTTACAATTTGCAGAGTAACTTTTAATTCAAGAGCATTACTTGGCTCATTTTCTGATGCCGCCACCACGAGAAAGATGGCTTGAAGATTACGTCGTTAAACTAGAAAAAATAAAAGTGGCTGCTGCCATTATTCAAGCCTTTTCCTCATTGTCACTACGACTGCTCTAGCTCTATAGCTGAGCACACTTTGCCACTAATGCATCACGCCACCATTGCAACAGGTGAGAGTGACGCACATCTTCAAGGCTATGAACATGATTAAACTCTGCCAGGGGGGCGGGGAATTCAATATCACATGATAGGTGTGGCACCACTGTCTGAGCTGTGGAGCCTTTATTGTCTGAAGCTTGAATGGCTCGCATCTACATTGTAGGGAAGACCGCAGAACAGAGTTCAGAGATTCCAGTTTCTTGCTAGTAAAGTACATGCAAGTACATTCCATATGTCACAATGCAGTAACATGTGGAAAACGAGCTGTGGCATCAAACCATGTTGTCTGCCTAAGTCCTGTCATTCTAGTCATTCAGAGCATTGTTACCATGCATGCGCGATAGAGTGAGTTGGTGATACTTGTCATTGATGTAGAAAGGACACAAACATGTGGTACACAGTACTGTTCCATGACAGTTTTTTAAGTGCGGAGCACTCAAGAGGCACATACTGTCGTGTGCTGTTGTAGCTTGGTATAACACAAGAGAAACCTCATATTGTACAATCCTGAGCAAGCCTCCTCCCCCTCCCTTTCTAGCGAAGGATAATGTGACAATATACAAGGGGGGGGGGGGTTGCTTTCTAGGTCATGGATCGAAATTCAAGATGGTGGCAGAAAATTGGGTAAAAATAAAGAATGCACCCTTTGTGTTACTATTGCAATGCTTGTTATAAATAGGCACGCATGAGATAAGCTATGGGTGCACATTTGAATTCTCATGGACAAGCGATAGGGGGCGCTCTTGGGATTTTATGGTATAGCATGGCCATTCAAGGGCGTGCTCACATCAAAGAGCAGCCTTCTTCCTCTTTTTCTTCAAGTGTATTGGTGATGACAGAATTAAACAGAAAAAAAAAATTGAAAAGAAACGATTGAAAAGAAAGAAAAAGAAGAGAGGGAAAAAACGAAAAACCAAAGAGAAAGAAAAAAGGCTGCCCAACTCCGCTCTTTCTACAAGCATATTATGCTTCCAGCTTCGCACTGTTAGCAAGTTGCCTTAATTTGTTTTTTCTGCATTCTTATTAGGCTGTGCTTATTTACTCTATCATGGATGATCATGTGATTGTGTTTGTTATATTATTGTCACTACGTCATTGTTATTTCATTGTCACCATTCATTTGTAGTCTCGTGTGGGATTCTCAAGCTCGAGTGCCTCAAGATCATATTGAGCTAGACATTTCCTGGTAAATATATTGAGAGTGTTTGCACTCTATACTTGCGATTATTCTCAGAACAAGAACACATTCTCTGCATTATTTGTAAAAGTTTTGCCTAAGCATATTCCTACAGTTCATAGGATCCACTAATGACTCTAATGATATTAAAATGATAATGATAATAATGACTTTAATTATATTCAAATGCACAAATTTAATAACAAACTCTTGTTCTAATTTTAGGGGAGCAAACGGCGAATCAGATATTCGCTTCACACTAAGCGATGAATGTGTCAACATGAAAGACCAGCAGACAAGTCATCTATACCAAAAGAACATCATTTCATCATCTCCAACATAGCCAACCAGAACTTAGCCGTTTTCGCACAGAACAAAGGTTTGTCTAAAGCATCAAAAACTGTTTTCAGCAAGCATGTAATTTTTATGTAAGCAAATAACAGTCGGAACTTGATCTAATTAAGTGATGAGGACGCTCAAATTATTTTGGTAAATCTGGAAAATCAAGAAAGGCTCTCTAAAATCTAAAATTGTAAAGTAGTGACAGCCAAAAGCTACCAGGTTATTGTTCTTGCCACCAATCTACTCCTGTGCATGTGAAAAGTCCGTGACGGTTTAGGACGGTAGTCCCGATATGGAGCCTTCAATGTCACCCAGTCCTAGTTGCATGGTTCAGGTGATGCAGATTAGAATGAGGGTTATGTGGAGTAATGATGGTTGTATGATGCACGGAGAACGAGTGAAGTGATGTGTGAGCAGGCTGTGTGAGAAAGTTGCAAGAGGCGATTAGTGCCATGATATGCCATAAGGCTAACCACTACTGCTATTAACACCATCTGGTATGTTAGAGCGCTACCAACTGTTGAGTCTATTGCACCATACATGCTCACAATGTGCTGCCTTGTCAAGCTGAAGCTGTAGGGTCATGGTAGGGTGCTTAGACGTTTTAACATGATATTGTTAGAGTGCGCTCTTGTAAAAGAGGCAGTCTCTGCGAAATTCGGAGGAAATTACAACTTTTTTAGTCAGTTATTTTTTAAAAATACATCGCTAAATTAGGTTTAGTGACTAAGTTAGTGTCGTTGATTTGGTTAGCGATAACACTGAGCTCTGTGGGCGTTTGGGGGCGATCGAGATTTCTTCATTAGACTGGGGACTGAAATAAGCTTTCATTAGATTGAGTTTGAAGTGTAGCTCACTCAAGTAATTTTAAACATCGTCTTACCAGGTTGAGTTATTCTAAACATCTGAGCGCAGTGTGTGTATACCACATTGGGGCAGTCAATTATTTGATATGTAAAATGGCGGCAGTGAAAACCAATTGAAGTTTCAGACATATTTCGCATTTCGAGAGAGTGAAAGTTGTACATATGCAAACACAGGCACTGTTGCAACGTCATGACTGTGGTCCTCTACAAGAGTGCTGTATGTCACCACTAAAGATGTGGCACAAAGCAAAATAGGAAAGAAGTGGGAGGGATAGGTTGTCACAGGCTGTGGCATTTTTTTCATGGCTCCTGCATATGAACAAAAATACAAGGAAGGTGTCCCACCTATGAATGCTAGCTAGGACAGAGGAGCACAGTTTGGTTCTATTCTTCTCAATTAACTGTTAGGAGCTCCGTTAAGCAGAGCATAAACCCATGTTTATTTACAAGTAAAGATGGCTCCAACAAGTGCCGCGAGAAAGTTGTGAGAAAATGTCAGCCCGCATTGGTGCTTAGCGAGGCAGTGACTTAAGAAACAAACTTGTTGGCTTGAAGACCAGCTGTATAAAGTTATCTTGCTAGGAGAAGGAAGCAAAAACTTGATTGGGTCGCCTTTGATATTGCGTCTATGGCTTAGCTCAGGGGTCTCAAGCACGCAGCCCGCATACCTTTTGGTAGCGGCCCACGGCTTCACAAAAAATAAACTTCTATTGTAATTGCAATATTTTCTTGCCAGTTGTGATAAATAGTGCTTTGTCTGCCTAATCTTCAGATACAAGTTTGGTCTCGAGCATTTTCTTTATTTTTTCATTTGGCACCCCATGCAGCAGTCACAATGTGTTAAAACATAACAGTGTAACAAAATTTCTTTATTTCACAATCGGTGACCAGGTTTTGGCCATTCTGGAGATCGGTATTGGTATCTTTCTAGAATGGTGATACCAAATCTCCTTCATAAATGACCAATATTTTAGACATGTTAATTGGTCTCTCTAGGTGGTGTAGTGGTAACGGTGCTCAACTGCTCACCCAAAACTCACCGGTTCGATACCAGCCGCTGGTTGCATTTTGATGGAGACAACATGCTAGAGACTTATGCGCTGTGCGATGTCAGTGCATGTTAAAGAACAACAGACGGTCAAATTTTCTGGAGCGCTCCGCTGTGGCATTCCTTATGATCCTATTGTTGTTTCGGGATGTAAAACTCCAGATATCATAGTTTAGATATGGGGAAGACGTTCTTTCATATGTAGCGTTAGGTGACATTTAGTTAACCTTCCCTGCTTCACCTTCATCACCGTTCCGGTGTTCTGGCTCTTACAGGACTAACTTCACGATTGTGGCCAGCTAGATGAAGTGAGTCTGAGACTTCTACCTAGCTCTGGTCTATGGAAAATTCATCTATAAGAGGGAAAAAAATAAAAGACAAAATGTCACCTTTTGTTCGATCAGTCATTTTTTTTAGATATGCTTTCAGTGCATATTATTTGCCTGAGTGAGTGTTTGAGTACCCATTGCACCATTGATAAGCCTTCCACCACATGCATTTCACAAATACTACTAAGTATCCTTGAATTGGATCAGCTGTGATTGTGGTTGCTGATTTTGGTTAACACCTGGCTTTTGTTATTGCCAAATTGAGAGAAGTGTTCGTGCAGGTCCTCAACATACACACTCCTTTCTTCCTTCAAATCAGATGCTTACAATGTTTCTGTGAAAAAGCTGTATCTTACTTGTTTTTGTTTCAGTGGCGGAAGATGGTACAGAGCATTCCTCTGGTAAGTGTCCATTATTATAACGTTAATTTCTAAATGCCACATCAGTTCTATCGTTTACATAGAAATGTTGTTTGTTTTCATGCACTTCAATTCATTGTTTCATTACAATGGCTATGGCACAGTGGTTAGGGTGTTTAGCTGCTGAGCAAAATGGCACATATTCAGTCCCGGTGACGGTGGTCGCGAACAAGTGGAGCACGAAGTTGCTGTTCTGTCAGGCACCCTCTGTTCATACAGAAGCCCAGTTTCACTTGCTTCAGAGGCGCCAGTGCCCACTGTTTGATGGAGAACAGCACCTAGCATGCTGTTGGTCAATAGCCAGCATGAATCGGGAGCAGCGTTTGAATTAGCTGCGCTTCTTGCCACAAGGCGCTTCCATGTGTTGGCGCTGCGCTCCACAGTCTGCTAACACTACAGAGTGAGCCACACTCTCATGCAGGAATCACAAGGAAAGATAGTGATGGTGTTCCACCCCGCCTGTTCAGGGTCATTATGCGCTCTAAAATAACTTGCCCCCTCCTTGCCCCCCCCCCCTCTGTATAACTTCCAGCATGCTTGTTGTGTGGCAGGGGAAGAGAGAAAGAGCTTGTCACGTGCTGCTGTAATATTCTCTACCCCCCCACTTTTCTTGTAACTCCGCTCGTTCTTGATGGATTTTTGCTGCAATCAATTTGTAATGCAGGTGTTCATTCATAGCTATTTACTATAACACTGGGTGTTATAAACTGTGTCTGGAAGGCATTGCGATGAACTCTTCCTTCGTTGTCTAGCAACCATCACCAACAAAATATACGAAACAGCTGTTGGTGTTCCAGCACTATGTTATCACTGAGAGCACTGGTGACCAAACTGGACTTTAGTATGAGATGCCCAGTTGCAAAACAGATGCAGTGAAATGGGTCAAAAGGTGCGTGCCTGTTATCAACAGCTGCACAACGAGTGCATGACTGGCAGTGTCATGTTTGTGTTTCTTACCTGTTTTGCTTGTGCCTACCAAGGAAAAGATAGTTTCTTGATAAGTGGTATCTATTCAAATGACAAAGTGATCATAAGCAAGGCTAATCATGAAAAGGAATAGCTGGAGATTATGTGGATGAAGTGATCAAGAGCAGACCTTAAGCTTCTGAACATGCCCACTGTGGACTCATTAAGAATCTTTATGCAATAGGGAAGCAAGCCACCTAGGATGCAGGAACTGTTTTGATCACCATGCCTGACAAATGTTGGATGTTACTGTCATCAAGCTATGTAAGGGCTCCATCGCTAGGTCTTACAAAATATGGCTTGCAATCGATGACACTACCGTGAAACTGATACCACAACGCAGGAAAGCTCCTCTAAGTTAATCTGTGACATGTGTTAAGCATGTGAGGACCTGCCAGTGAAAATAATCAGGACTGCATTTTCTCTCCAATGCTGTATATAGAATGCTCTCAATGACATTGAGAACGTGAGATATAGTAGACTACAACTATGAGCCATAGTAGTCGAGTGTAAGGTAAGTAAATGTGCGCGATGGGTGTAGTTGTCATGTCATTTTTATGAGGTAGGCCTGTGGCCGCTTCTGTGAAAGCAGGAAAACAGATTGACAACCGGTTATTTGAAGATACGCGAGCTGGTCGGGCAGCTGCATTATTTGTCAGTTACTTTGGCAATTCACACTATATTGTGTGTTATGGTCAGGCTTCAAAAGATTAAGCTATTCGATGTAAAGTCTTTTTTTCCTGTTTTTCTCGGTGGGGTAATACGTAGGGGTAAGCTTATGTTTGTAATCAACCTATTCGGGAATAAACACGGTAGTTCCTGCTCAAAAAAGGTGGAGGGGGAGGGGGGCTTTGGCAAATAAACTAAATAGACCTTAGCATGTGTGTCCATACTGTCTCTTTCCCGGCTGTTGGTGTTTGCTGCCTAGTGACAGTGCTATGTGTGTTTGTGTAAATGTAACAGGTAAGGTTTACCTGGAAGGCCATGTTGTACAGAAAGGTGAATGCAGACCCCTGGGAGATGACCACTACATGCAACTGAAAAGGTACATCACAGGCTCTTCACCAGAACTTCAGTGCAAATGCCAACACATATTTTATTGAGATACTTGTAGAATAAATGCATCCAACACCATGCTTTTCTTTGTCAATGCAGCAAAAAAGTTAAGCTAGCATCGGGGATCCACTGTGACTGTGTTTTTAACCATTAGTGCATGAAAAAAAAAAGGTGCATGTTAATGTTTCGCTGACATAACACAACAGAACCTCATGTGCATAATTTTGTCTTCTGATAGTAGCTCCTTGCAAGTCTTGGCATGCTTCAGCGAAACTACATTTAAGACATAGTACAACAGCAAACAAATGGGTACATGAGAGTGCTGGCTCAAAGTGGGAAGATAATTAACCTACCAGCGGTTGTGGCATCAGATAATGTTTGTACTTACAGTCGTAACCTACCGTGCAGGAGGTTGAAGAAATTGGATGTGGAAGAGTTTAATTGCCAGAAATTTCTGAAGTGCCTAGTTTTCATTACCTCTATGTGGCATGGAGTGTTATGCCCCCACCCCCTCAGTCCCCCTCTTAAATTTTCTGTGGAGGACCCTGTTTGCAGTTACGGCATCACAGAGACAATACTGACCTACGCAGATGTTTCAGTTGTACAAATTTTTACACTGACAAAACGGCCAACAACGTCACATATGATGGCTGCGGTCATTAGCAAATCCTCAGTTGTGGCTTGTGTGACTTCCCGCATTACAGTGGACGACCAGCTGCTATCTTGGGCAAAGCCAGGATTTTATTTCAGGACGGGCACAACACGTCTATATGTACATGTTTGTATATGCACGTGTGTATGTGCATACGAATCGCAAAAAATTTTATGGGCAGGTTGGTCATCCCATCCACTCCCTCAACATTTTTCCGGCTATGCCTACATCTCGATGCTTACATTAGACATTAATTTCTAATTATTCTATGACAAACTGCTTTGCAAAGCCAGCCTCATGGTACTTTGTAGCAGACGGCATTGAAAACATTGCTATAATTAAGAACAGAAAAAGCGGCATGAGTGTCTTTATACTTGATTCAATATATGGTGTTCAGTCATTACGCTGCACATGGTTCTTGTGAGTTGATGTGTACTTTGAAGAGTATTGCTGCTAAGTTGACTCTGGGTGAATTGTAGTAGTGTACTTAGATTTAGGTGCACATATGAAAGAGCACAGCTGGTCGAAATCATTCCAGAGTCCCAATGAAAAAGCATGCCTTGTAATCATGCTGTGGTTCTGACAAGTCGAACCCCAGAATTTAGTGTTGATAATGTGTGATGATGTGCATGTGGCTTTTTCTCCTTCTGATCTCTGTATACCCCTTCCCTTTAATCATTACTCTGAACTGTTACCCAGTTTCGGGTAGTAGACAAAATTGTCTTTTTTTTTATCTTGACTTGGGAGTTTTTTGTTTTTTTTTCTTTTTCATTCGTCTCTCTTTCTCTCCCCTAATATATTTCATATGCATGGCCATATATTATGCAAATTCTGTACAAGAGGTCTTTCACATGTTTTCAGGCAAACTATTCTGAAGGCTAGCCAACATGTGCGTCAAGTGAAGCAGTTAAACCGAATTGTGCAGAACTACAAGCCTGTGGCGAACCATGCGTTCAATGTGAGTTTCATTTTAAGCTTGGCTGGTGAAACTGGTTTTGGGCCAATGGTAAATCTTTAATATAGTGTGTTCCACTCCAATAATGACCTGTAATGTAAACAATAGATGGCCAATGTAGTAGTTTTGATACAGTGGTTATGCACATTGAGGTGCATTGTCAGCTTAGAGTAGCCATGCTTGTTTTACTGTGCACAGTTTTCCTTCCAGATAATTGTGATGCATTAATTTGCTGTACAACTGTCAGAGTTTAGAAACAAATCTTCCTCCTAATAAGGTACATTAAACGATCCATATTTTACCAACTGCATAGTGCAATAAAAATAATTGCTTATTTGAAGTCCGCAGATAAATGTGCATAATCTGTGTAAAGCAGAGTATCTCTTTAATGTTGCCGAAATTGCTGAGGCCGTGTTTAATAATGCACATTTATTTGGAGGCGGCACGCTTGGGTCTTGGAAGTCCATCCATTTTTTTTTTCAACTACTGATGAGTGAAATTTTACAGTGCTCACAGATAGAACTGCAACAATTTCATTAATAATGAACATACCTGCATTTTCACATTCTCCAGCTCGCGTTATATTGGCATAATTTCAACTAAAACGCTCACATCACGCCAAGATTACTATTAGTAATAGTGGCAAAATTCATAGCAGCTTAGTGCAGTTACCTTCAGTGGTTGCACATACCAATCATTATACCAAAAGCTTTAAGTCGTGTTTTGGTATGTAAGCACTTCACTGTGCGTATCACAGTTAGGTGCTTGATAAAAAAAAACCTGGTGGTCAGAAGTTCTGGAGCCCTCAACTACGACATGCCACATAACCATATTGTGGTTTTGGGATGTAAAAAATAAAATCTTTAATGTACGTTTCACAAGTTTGAAATGGAGATTAGCTTTTTCATTTTGAAAATGCAGTAACAAAGGCTATCGTGCGAGACAGTATAGCGTCGATTTATTTGATATGCATAAAATACTACTAAAGTCCGCATAACATACTACTAAAGAAGGAAAAAAGAGAAACTTAAGGGCTTGTTATTCCTTATGAGACACAATAATAATGGGAACATAGCAGACATTAATACCCAAGTAAACTATACAGGATGTTATTGGTAGTATAATTTTGATGTAAATGTGAAGAAAATAAAGTGGACGAAAGAGAGAACTTGCTGTCAGTGCGGAATGAACCTGCAGCCTTTGAATGTGTTCGAAAGTTGCATATTCCGCCCCTGTCAGCAGCACATTATCTTTTCGTCCACTTTGTTTTCTCCCAATTTACGTCATAATTATACTACTAATAACATCCCTATACTTTTCTTGTCATTATTGTCTGTTAGTTCTCGTTCATACTATGATAGAAATTGGTTATTTTTATTGATGAGTATAGGAATGAAATGACTATGAAAGGCTAAATCTAGCTCTGCACTGTAACTGATTTAAAGCTGCTGTTTGTAAGAAATGACCATGTCTTTTTCGCGTCTGCCCTCGCTTTCCTGTACGCGATTATCTGCAGCCCGTCATATGTGCCCCTGAGCCCTGTAGATGCTTTCGGCCCCAGCAACGTCTCAGGATAGCCACCCTTTTTGTACGTGAGCCACAGGGCATCGTGGCCTGCTAAAGATACCCCCCCCCCCCCCAATTCTACAATATAAATTTCATCCACGCTTTCTTTGCGAATGCCTGGTAGGCGACAGCGGTCCGACGCTGCAACAAAGGAATTCGTCGGCGCGAGTTCTGTAAATGTGGCACCTTCGGAATGAAAAAGTAACGAGTAACGTGGCACCTCACGTTACCGAAAAATGTTAACGGAAGTACGCTACATGTTATACTTTCGAAATTGTAATGAATACATTACTAAGCTACAGAAAAAAGTAACACGTTGCCGGTAACAACGTTACTTGTAACGCGTTACCACCAACACTGTGAGTGACCAACTATAAATATAAATCTCACTGGTTCAACGAGCCGATGCACCTCGTGTCATTATTACTTACCAAAAACGTAAACAAAAAGTCAAGGCTTCTGGGTGGGACCACAGGAACCGAGTTGTCCTTGTACCTTTTTAAAAATCTAAAGAAAGGGAAAAAAAAAGCAACGCTAGTACTTTGAAGTGCGAGCGCTGCTCCTACGTGGGCGGGTAGTGACTTTCCCACTGGACACTTGAACCCAAGATGGCGTACCTTTGTGCAACTAGAGTTGCGCATACCTTTTTCTTTTTTTGCGCCGCTCGCACCACTATTCGGCGAGCGCTGTAACATGGTGCAAAGTGACGTAAAATGTTCAATATCACGAGGCGTAACCTACTTTACATGCACGGTGGCACGGCGCCCGCACGTTATCTGCCCGCGCTGACTTCAGTCTCATCGTGACCGCCATCAGGGGCTCTTAGTTCGCACGTAATGTCTTTTACGTTACCAGATCAAATCTGCACATGTGCATGTTTTTACAGAACTTAAACATTTACGTAACGTAAACTACCCGCCGGATAGGCTTTACGTTTGCTGCGTTATCTCTGAAATCCACCTTCGTTCGTAGGGACTCATAATATTTGTACTTCGGAGACTCCAGGCATCGAATCAAAATAAGCGGAGGTGCCAGCGCCGATGCGAGTACATTGTTTCAGCCGGATGACAAAAGCTAGAATGACCAGGACATCGAAGCCGCATACGTATGATCCCCGACAGAATGGATAAGATGTGCCATATAGCGGACTCAAAATGAACCAGGCAATCATGAGATTGTTATTGCAGAAACATTTTGCATCGTATGACTGGTGTAAAAAGAGTGCCAAGGCGTTGTTACGAATGAGTTACTCTTTTCATTATTTCACCTCATTTAAATAATTTTCGAGTTTACCATCCTAAAACAGCCATATCATTATGATAGGCACCGTAATGGAGGGCTCCGGATATTTGAACCACTTGGGTTTTTTTAACATGCACTTAAATCTAAGCACACGGGCTTCAAGCATTTTCTGTATACATATACATAGTGTACACGTGCGTGACGCAACGCCTTTACACGTTACTTCCGAAATGCGCCGCCGACATGCCCGGGTACCTGCTGACTCCGTCATCACAACGGTGCCGTGTTGTTCCCTCATGCTTGAGCCCATAAGTTCTGCCTCACGATGCAAGTTTGAGAAATTATTAGGTGCTAGTGAGGCAATTGAGTTGATTTAGCAGTTCAGGAGGAGGGAGCAGAGCGTCGGGGTGTTTTCTTTGCCGAAAGGGTTTACCTAAAATTGAGAACGCACATTGCGATGTTTCCAAAAGCACCGGCGTATTTGGCTGGCACAGATTATTAAAAACAACTTGAAGAACCTCGGCAATATTTGCGTCTTCAGGTGTAACTTTATAATGGGTAGGTGCTATGTCCAAGCACGTACCTGCAGAGATAGCTTATCGTGATGTTGACTATACAAACTTGTGCGCGCGTTCAATTGGTGCACAATCAACGGGTCAAGGAGGTAGTTAAAATCGTGGTGGTGATCGTGGGAACCCAGGTATTTAATGGAGACAAACTGTGAGAATGATGTGAAACAATATTCGTTCCCTCGCGGTTTGAAGTATACAGTCAATCGGTTCGAGTTGGGACGGGGGGGGGGGGGGGGGGGTCACATTTTTTTTTTTAAATTGGTTGATTGAGTCTCTAAAACGGTCTCCATCATTTTCAATGACTCCACTGTAAATTAGCGCACAACAACAAAAGTAAATTACAAGATAAAAATGTGTCAAAACACACGCGATAGAAAAAATAAATAAGTGGCCGGCATCACCGCAGCACGCACCACGTGAAGTCTACCTCGCAAAATATTTTGCTCGGATAATTCCACAAATTCCAATCAAACAGGCTCAACATGAGCTCTTTAAAACACTTGGGAAGCCGTGCTGCTACTTTGATGGCGTAGACCGCCACATTATAATAAAATTGTCATTATTATTGTAACAGACTAGAAAAAGGTAGAGAAGAGAAGCAGAGAAAAACGAAGAGTCGTGGCATGATCGCAGTGTGCTGCCGCAAACGACCATCGTTCACCTCCTGTAAATAAAACCATCTTATCACAGCTCGCTGTTACAGTTGTGGTGGACGTGCTGGGTAATCGACACCCGAAGACAGAAGGTGAATCGCAAGTTCTTCGACGGAGCCGTCGCATTGCTGGACTTCCACCGAATCCATCTGGTCTGGACATGTCCCACAACGCAAATGAACACCGACCCCTCTCGACTTCTGCGCCGACCAGTTCGGCTCGACAACTGAGAGATGCTCGTCCCTTTGCCGGCAGACCAGATGAATACGTCGAGGCTTGGCTCATCCATTACAAACAGGTGAGCGCTGCTAACAAATGGGATGCCGCTTCTCAGCTTTTGTATGTCGCGTTCTTTCTGACAGATACTGCATTAATGTGGTACGAGAATTGGGAGAAAACGCTAACGACGTGCGACATATTTGTTTCTGAAATCAAAGAGCGTTTCGGCGACCCAACAACAATAAAGAAAAGAGCAGAACAGACGCTAATGCAACGCGCTCAAGTGCCAGGTGAAACTTGCACGACCTACATTGAGGAAGTCATAAAGCTATGTAGAACCATTGACTCCAGAATGTCTGAAGAAGACAAAGTCGGGCACATTCTAAAAGGAATCGCCGAGGATGTTTACAGTTTCCTCATCGCAAAAGACACCTTGACATCTGTCACCGATGTCATTCGTCATTGCCGCAATTTCGAGCAACTAAAGACGAGGCGCATCACGCCAAAGTTCGGCAGGCTACCCAATGTGACGACCATCGCGAGCATAGACAGCAACCAGGCGCTTGATCTTGCAACAACAATCCGGCAGATCGTACGTGAAGAACTCGGCCTGTACGCGCAAGTGGCAAACCGCCCAAGCACTCATCCTCCCTATCAGCCACCAGAGTTCGAGTGAAACGTTGCTTCATTCTCCTCGCACCGAGTGGCGGAGGGCTTTGAGGATTCTGATGCCACACCTCAGTATCAGCCA